AGTCCCAGCTTTTCACAGATCATTTCAGTTATCCTTTTTGATCTATAACAGAGGCCATATTTCCAATTTGATACGAGTAAATGTCGGTAAATTAACATATCATTTGAGGAAAACAAAATTCCTTATGCTCTTACGGCGGAGGATCCAACAGCTGGATCTGAAGAAAAAAACTGTATCTCCACCGTCAGCAGAGGAGAAACAATTAAGAATCGAAAGTTCTTGCAGTGAGCCTGGCTGTCACCTCAATAGCTCATCATGTTTGCTTCTTATGGGAAGCTTGAATGTCTTGAGGATCATATTGGGGAGGGAGGCAATGCGCATGGAAGTTCATCACTAGGAGACTTCACCATCGACTGCAACATAAACTCCTTCGCTAAACCTTGCACCGTCGTTTCGGCACAGACCCTTTGCGCGTTCGGAGGTATCGTCAGTTTATACTTCAAGAGTTTCGAGTATTCGCTCAACAGATGGAACATATAATCATACACGTTTCGCATTGAAACCATCTCTTCAATAAATTTGCTTCCTGCTTTACCTATGGCCTGTGCCTGCAAGTTCACCGAGTGAAAAAGGGTACATAAATGATCGAATCCAATCTGATCCGTATCCTTCGATTGTCCGAGAGCACGCACCTCATGAGTGTGATTGTTTCCCCAATCAACTGCAAACTTAAGGTGTTTGCATTTCTGTTTGCGTCGGATAGGCCAGAAATGCTGCATCGGAACCAGGCTTCTCGAGAAGAAATCATAGTATTTAGGCTTGATCATCAAGGTCATACTGTCGCACGCCATTATGTATTTCTCACTTACAGACCATGTCCTTCCTTCTGCATAAATTTTATACCTATGGGTGCATTGATCTTCCAAACCAGAATGTTTGAATCCTTCTCCTATTTCTTTACCCAATCCTGCATCAATAACAATTCAGAGTCACAGATCAACCCATTGGCACTGCCAAAGTTCATTATGGTTTCTGATCCAGAAATTACTTGCAAATAGAGCCGAATATTCCAGTCATGTGTGTGCGAGAGGTTGCATTTCAAAAGATCAGACCTATCTTTCGAGGTGGCGGTGCCCTTCCAGTAGGCGTAAGGCTCCCTCTTTTCCCACCGGACCCTCGCCGCCCCTTTCTTGACGGCCTTCACTATCTCCTCCCATGGCTTTATATTAACCTCCACCCTGCCGGAACAAAACACTTGCATTACACACTTGGCATTTTGTTCTGCATTAGTAGCAATATGTAGCAGAGTTTACCATCCCCAGAAGGTCCAGTCAGGGAATATAATGTCCAGTGCCGCCTTCTCTCCACAGTAATGGAACACCGGCGGTGGCGGTGGCGGTGATGATGCAGCGAAGAGACCTTTGTAGTGGCTTTTCATGATCACGGTCTCGTCCCCACAATAGAACAAGAGGTCCAAGTCCGGTACTTTTCCAGGGTACAACTTTAGAAGCTGCAAAATGCCCCATATTGTAAACAAATCTCTGGTTTGATATGACGGTCTGTACCTATCGACAAAAGCGTTTCCGTCGACGATCACGAGCCTAAAATCCGCGCTCGGAATTCCACTCTCGATCATGTCTTTTGTAATTCCCGAAGTTTTCCATTGCTTTAAGTCTTGGTGGATCCACCGGAAGTAGTCCGGGCAAGTTTTGGTCGGTGAATCTTTGGGGTTAAACACCGATGAAATATTAACTGAACTAGAGCAGCTGAGAGGAAATTGAATCCTCTCGTGATGAACTTTTGAAGTAAAGCTAAATGGATTGCCCCGTATGATAGGCTGGGAAACAAGTAGACCAAAGAATTATTTATTGGAAAAAAATGGAGGAGTAAGCTTGAGTTTAAAGGAGACTTACAATATCCATCCAAAACAGGGCAGCAGCAGCAACGAAGAAGAAGAAGAAGAAGAAGATAAAGGAAGTCGTCGTGGTCACAAATCCCTTGAGCCATCCAAGCCCAAGCTTCGAAAAGAAACCTTGAATCACTTCATCTCCATAAGGCCAAACGCCATGAAAAATCTTGACAGGCTCCGCCATGGAAGCTGTATTCACAAGCTCAAACACAAAACCAGAGTATGTCAAAATCAAGCAGCGGCGTGTTATTGAGCTCGCAGGAGGGTAAGTTTCGAGCTTTAATGGAGTTTGGGTTCAACACGCAAGTCTATCACGACGACGTGGTTTTGTTGGGTGGGGGGGGGGCTAAATGTAAATCTTTGAGAACGCTATAGTCAACGAGTTGTTTACTTCTCTGGACGAGTGGAGGAGAATGACGATGAAGTATTAGGCAGTAGGGTTGTTGAAGGTTTAACTTTACACCGGGTATTAGACCGCGATTAACAATTTAATAACAACGTAAATCTTTTATTACTACCACGTATTGTTAATTGACAGATGATAGTGCCATGTTACCCGGTTTTATTGTCAGAAGAGATAGGTATTTTTCTGTATAGAGGCCAAATTTTGGTATACTTGATGTAAGAAATTGATTTGTACACGTGGAAAACTTTTGAACTTACAATTGATCACATGTGTCGTATATATATTGCTGCTATTACATCTGTGGAATCTAAAGCTCCCGACAACTAGGGGTCAAGAAATATTTTTCCAGGGACAATTAGGGGTCTTGTGCCCTTAAAATGATAAAATTGTATATAAATGCTTTTAAAATTATAGAATATATAGTAGCACGTTATAAAATTATGTTTTAATCTTTTAAAATGATAAAATCTGAAGTTATATAGTTATAAGTTGATATAATTGTACTTATCTTAGATTAATTAAAAAAATAATATAATTTTAAAAAAATTAGGTTTTCCTTCTCACGCCGCCCATTTCTTTCTTTCTTTTATTTTTGTTTAGTTCACGACCGCTTTACTTTTATTATGATTATCGACTTTTGATATTGTTTGTTTTTATTTTATTTTTATATCACATTATTACTTTCTGTTTATTTTTTAATTTTTATGATATGTTTTCTTCTATCTTCTGATATATTTTCAATCTTCTTTATTTATCGTTTGATCATTCTTTTTTTATTTATGTCAAAGTTGGACCCTCAACTGATTAAGATAACATTTATTTGTTATCATGTTGATCTAATGATCATCTCGGCTTTAGACTCTCAAATTGAATTTGGATATACAATTGAGTTTGTGGATAGTTTTCTCACGTCGCTCGACTTTAATTTGCAGTTTGTTGGTGATCTTTCAATAATTTGATAATCTTTTATGGTTTGTTTGACGTATAGTAAAATATGTTCATATCTATCTTTATTCGAGTTTTTTAGTTGGATTTTTAACCTTTTTTATATGATTCTTATATGATATTGAGTGGTTAATTTATTGAGTCAATCATTATAGAAAAATGTCTTAAATATGTGTTTAATTTAATGTTATGATTGTAAACATTAATTTTAATTTTATGTATATTTTCTTTTTTTAAATTAATTGGACCACATTATTCATTTTTTATGGTTTTGCCCTTGTACAATTGGTTGATTTTTTTCAAGATAAAAAAATATATTTTAAAAAATTATAAAGAATTTGAATAATGTGGTTTTTTCTTTCTTTCAAATTTTAGGAATAAAAGCATTTATAACAAAATTTCCAACTTATAAATTTTTTGAAAAATCAAAATATAAAAAATAAAAATGAAATAATATTATAAAAGGTATAAAGTTATTAAAAACGTTTTTTTTAATTAAGAAATAAATAACAATATTGGTCAATATTTCTAAAATTTGTATATCCTAGTTGGGATAAAGGGTACCCCATCCCAGTGATCCCACGGCAAAACTTGAGAGTTGAGTTCTTGCGATTTTCTGCGGTGGCCCAAACATGGCCCTTATTAACAAGTCAACGATATAAGGACTTATACATAGTATGCACATTAGATGACAATCGTAAAAAATATTTGTTAAATTTTTTTAATTTAATTTATTTATAATACTAAAATTTTAAATTTAAACATCACATAAAATTTTCATTTTGTTCTTTTTGATTAACTGATAGTTAATAAAAAAAATTACGGATGTAACAGTTTACACTTTACATCCTATTAAATGTCATGGAGAATGGAACAGAAACACATCTAATAATACTCAATAAATTAAATTTTAATTCTAAAACACTTGATTACCATTTATATGGAGATATTGAAAAATTAAATTAGATACAAAGAAATAAATTATGAACATTTTAATGAAGTAATAATTTTGTTAATAAATATATGAACATAACATGAAATTCTAATATTAATAAAATATAGAACACAAGCAATAAAGAGAGTTAGTGTCGTTCCCACGAGGATTTGAGGAAATTGCAAGTTAAGTTAAAGTACGAATACTAAATTATCCAAGATAGTGTGGTGGTATGCATAAATGAGAATGATGTGGCAAATGAAATGAATGCGGAAGGTATCGTAGAATTGTGATGGCAAATTGTGGTGGCAATGTGGCTGATGGAAATGTTGTTGCAATTGAGAATGTGTTTGAAATGTAAACAACTGAGAATGTTAAGGTAAAATGAGTTGAGAATTCAGAAACAAATAAGCATACTTAATAATTCTCACACAACAAGCTATTATGAGAATGAATGGTAGTTACTAAGGAATCATAAGTCTTGTCTCTCATAATGATTCAAGCTTCTATGGTCTATTTGCTCGACAGAGTTTATTAAAAGTGCCCTTACACTATCTCTAGTCATGGGATCTTACAGATAAAAATGTCAAGGTAATACATCTCAGTGTGAACAGTAACATCAAACCGATTGAATAAGCGCTACTCCTTTTAGTCGTTAAAATCCTATCCTTATTTCTAAGGTGGATTAGGTATTAGTTAGCAGCTAAAACCCTTTGATCGCGTTGATCCTCCCTTACTTTCTCTCTAACACTAAGGATCTTTTACCTAGTTTCTCTCGACCACTAAGTATTCTACCTAAGAAATGTCTACTCTCATAGCTTTTACAATCATAAGTAATTAAGCACAATGAGCAAAACAAATAGATAAACATAAAAACTCAAATAATTCATTAAAACAAACATTTAATCATCCATAAAAAACCAGACAAAAAAAAGTTTAGTTTATGATGGGGTTCGAGATATCCAAGAGAATAATTTGTTCCATACAACCCATGTAATCGAATGAAAATTAAAGCATAAGGGTGGAGAAAACTCCCAATGCACGATGTCGGTTGCTCCTCAGACCACCACGAATGGTACCTTAGCGACGCTAGCTCCTCTCGGATGTCTATCTCGCCATTCCCTCGAGCTTGGCTATGGACGAAGCCCTTGAAAAGATGAAAGAGGAAAGAAAGTTGAAAGCTTTCAGTCGTCTCTCTCTTGCTTAGCTCACTATTTCCTTAAAGGAATTCTCTCTCATTTTTGTGGCCACCTTTTCTATTTATACTAGGGGAATATCCTCGATTTTAGTGAAAAAATTCTCATAATACCCTAAGGTACATTCCCCTCATGTGAAAATGGGTACAAAGGAGGCAATGGTCCCCTATAAGGTGGTTAGCAGCGGAAAACACGTGAGTGTTGCACAGTTGGCACTTTGAAGAAAATATATTCACCTCTTTTGTCTTTTTATGCGCCCAGAAATGTCATCCTAACCGTCGTGACATTTTTCTCATGCTCAGTCATCCCAAATTGCTTTGGCAATTCCCTTTAGCTCACCATCTGGGAATGTTGCGACAATCCTCCATGATCACCCTTTGCTTCATCAACCAGCAAATCATCAACAAAACACAACCTTTCCCATAAAACAACACAATTTACAAAATAATATGCCACGACAAATTCAAACTACCAAATACAATTATATGCTCCTAAATGCATCTATATGACTCTACATAAGCTTTAAGAACATCAATAACTTAAGTGAAAATGCCCTAAATATAGCATTTTTTACGAAATTATCACGCCCACAAACTTAAGTAGGACAAGCAATGGATAATAGTTAGCAAAAAGAAAAAATGGCATGGCAAAGTTCAAAATTAAGACAATCATATGGGATAGAGTTTCAACCCACGAAATTATTGGCTTCAACATGCTAAACTAGTAGAGAAATCAAGTAATGTCCCCTAGGGTAAGGTCCTTTGCGTAGGTGTGTGCGTGATTGTATCTAATCTATGCTTAACGAAGCTAGAAAATTTCTACTCAAGCATTCTTTTTTTTTCTGTGCTGAAGCATTTATTATCCAATTAAGCACAAGATTCACTCCCATTTCCTTAACACTTAATATTAATTATATATATTTGATTTTTTTACATTGCTACGAGGAGAGTCAACTTATCACAACTACCATCCGACAATCTAGATGAATTAGAGCATACATTCAGTCCCCAAGCTATTCAGGTAGAGTCACCCCGTGACAGTTTTCATTCACTCGTATGCCATGGTTTTCATTTATTGAAACGTAGTATCCGGGCAATGCCATAGCAAAGAGGAGTGTCCCTCTACAGTTATGCCGAAGCATTTATTCACAATTAAACATAATTCAAAATATATAAGGGAGTTTAATTCAGCCTTTAAGCAATCATTTATCATCCAAGTTCATTGTCAAAATTTTATGCTAAGGAATGCAAGAGTTCTTTCATAAGAAAATTCTAAGTTCTTTAAGCATAGAAGACATATAATCGTGTATCAATGAATCACAAAGAATCAAGTCTTAGAGTTGGTTCTATCGTACTCAACAGTTATGTACATTCAATTCTAGCCATAAAAGATTCATCATCATCGAGCATCATCAACTTATTTCAACAAACTATCATAATTCTTACTAATGCCATGGAAAATTAATTTTGCTAACACTATCATGCAAATAACCTAATAAGAACACTACATCCCCCAAACGTGAGGGATGTATTGTCCTCGATGCATAAAATAAACTAAGTTAAAAATGAAACTAAATGATATGAAATGCCATGCAAGGTACCTTGACTTATCTAGGATAGCAGTAGTATCGTGATGGCTATGTTGCGTCAGGTGCAACTCTTCAACAGGGGTGGGCTAGACTCTGAGTCTGATGTAGGCTCAATGGGTGGGGCTTGAACATACTCAGTTTCCTTGGCGATTGGGCTCTCCACACAAGCCCCACAAACTTCTTAAGGTGTTGCTTAGTCCTACGTACGAGAGATTGTTATGGCATTTCGGGTTTTGTGGGCATCGCTTCAGGGAGCTGTTCAACAGTAATGAGCGTCTGGATGGGTTGGTCCTGCTCGGCTTGTGTTGGCGACTGGGGTTCTTGGTTGTGCTCCTCTTCTTTGGGCCTCAGGGGTGATTGGTCGGCATCTTGTTGCTCAGTCGGTAGTTCATCTGGAAATGCCAAAGCATTTTCATATTCTGACAAGATGGATGCAGGGAAAGCAGGTAGATTATGGATCAACTGGGGAAACGTCTCCTTAAAGTAGGATTGTATGAACACTCTTACTAAGCCTTTGATAACTGCCAAGAAGCTAAAGCCCCATCCTGTTCTTCATAAAGCTCAAACTCATGATTTAACCTAGTGACTCTATCTTGAACCAGGGTTTTAAAAAACGGTCCGCGACTGCGATTTCGGCCGTGATATAGTGGTTTCGCCGTCGTCCGAGTTACCCGCGATGGCCTCAATAGCGTCCACGATGGCCTCAATAGCGTCCGCGACAGCCGCAATAGCGCCAGCGACAGCCGCAATTGCGCCCGCGACGGCCGCAATCACGGTAAATCCGAAATAACCGAAAACGCGACCGCGATTTGAAACTCTGTCTTGAACAATGTCTTGAACTATTTACTGTTAAGGCCAAATGATCCTACCATCAATAAACTTCTGAAGTCTATTTGTTTTAATGGTTAAAAGAACTTATTGATGCCAAAGTAAGTAGTTGTGATCATCCAATGTAACATTAATCTTTTTAGTGGAGAAAAAAACTCTACCAGCACTATTAACATGAGTATTCTGATTATTATTGTGAAGATTACTACTACTGTTATTTTCATCTCCAGAGGTCACCATATTAAACAGATCCAAAGAAACAGAGCTTGAGTGAAGAGCAGAAAGAACAAGAAGAAGACAGGAGGCAACACAAAACTCGAGAACAAATCTAATGAGAAACATACGAATCACAAATGCCAAATGATTGATTCATGCATCAAAGAGGCTTGAAGAACACGAAGATCAAAAAAGAGCAAACAACAAAACACGAACATCAAAGCTCACACACAAAGGCACAAAGATCAGCAATCGAAGATGAAGTAGAAATTAGAGAGGAAAGTCAACAATTGAAGATGAAGTAAAAATTAAATAGGAAAACAATTGTAGACATCAACACAAAGACCGATGAGAGCAACGAAAGACGAGATAAACCTGAGCAGTAAAAAAACACCGAAAAACGTAAAACCTAGGTCAGAAAACTTACACAAATCAACAACATACTAAAAATACCTCATCACCAAAAACTAAACCACCGACGATTAACCATTCATGGTTCTGATACCATGTCAGCAATCGAAGATGAAGCAATCAGCAATTGAATCTAAAGCAAGAACAAAGATGAGAACTCTAGGCATGAAGAGATTGAATTAGGGAAAGTGTTTAGTGTTGACATAGAGAAAATATAGAGAATGTAGAGGAAAACTTCGTTAAAACCGTCTGCCTTAGCCCAATACAACTGACCCACTTATATAGCCCAAAACAACGGCCTAACAAACTCGTCTAACATACTCAAAACAAACAAATATAATAAGGATACTAGAGCCTTCTAATATACTTCAGGTTGCTTATTAGAAGAAACTAATATATGCTAATACAGATAACGTTTCTTATAACATCAAACCTTAGAGAAATGAGTATTTAGGTAGTGGACTTTCTGTCTTTCTTCCACAAATGCATACTACTGTGTAATACCCTTCAGAGTAAGCACATCCATTAGATTAATAATATAAGGTTTCTTAAGGTATCTGTCTTTAAAGTCCTTGACAGTAACAGGAAATGTGGCTGAAAACATCAAAATTTGGCGATTCGCTGGAAGAAAACGTATCAACTGCTCTATAGATGGTTGAAACTCTGGAGACAGAAGTTTATCTGCCTGAAAGAAACCAAACCATAAAAATAAGCTTTTGTAAATAAAAAGTTAGCATCAACAATTAAAAAAAAGGTACGGAAAACAATCAAATATTTTCTCCATCCCACAAGTGCCTTGCTTCTTTTTTATAGAAACTTGTAATTGTGCTATTGACTCGCACTTATAAAATCTAGCTCCAAAACAAGCAATTATATAAAGATAGGAAATTGTAAAAAGAATCAGAGGGCAATTGAAGACAGAAGATAACAGTTCTCAATCTTTAAAGACAAGTGGACAACATTGGAGAATGCAAAGAGACTTCTAACTTCGTCAGATTTCTCAAATTAAACTTGAGAGGCAAAAAGAAAATAAAAATGAAAGAAAAATTACATAGAAACTACCAAATTATTACCTCGTCCATGATAAGCATAGAACAATCTTTCAAAATGCAAACACCCATTTTAACAAGGTCGAGAATTCTCCCAGGAGTTCCAACCAGCAAATGGACTGGTTGATACAATCGCAAGATATCATACTTGAGACTGCAAGTACCTCCAGTTGTGACCATGACTTGAATTTGCAAATGCTTCCCAAGCTCCTTACAGACTTGTGATGTCTGAAGAGCCAGCTCTCTTGTTGGAACAAGTATGACAACTGTGCAAACACACGCACACAGAAAGAGATAATCAGTAAAAACAAGTAACTTAACAAATAATGAAAAATCAGAATTCAAGAGTGTCATTGAAACGTTTTTATACCAAAAGTAATGTCATGAGATAGATATGGGGAATTGACTTGTATCTCATACTAAACCGAAAGGGTTCAAATAAAGAACTTTATTTGTATGGGTTTCAGAGAGAAGAGTGAAAATGTATGCCTGGACGGCCGCAAAAGGTTGCACCTATTTGCAAGATGTCTTGATGGCATGATGCAGTCATTTTACGAACTGGTACAGAAGTTTGACCATCACTTGACTATGTCCATACATACCAATGCCCGTAATTCAAATTTAAGTTAACAATATAAACAGCAAACAGCACTCATGAATCTTCCCCAATATCTGATTCAGGCAAAACAGGCAACTAGAAGAACAATATACAATAGAAATGGAAAAGCTATGAAGTACCCATTACCGATTAACTGGACCTATAACCGATATACATGAAGAGAGGAGGATGGAGATCTAACCTTGAATAACATTGTTATCTTGGTCAATTTTTTCCAAGGCAGGAATGCAAAATGCTGCTGTCTTCCCAGTTACATTTTTGGCTCTAGCAAGAATATCCCTTCCATTTAAAGCAATAGGAATACTCTCTTCTTGAATAGGAGAAGGTCTTTCAAAACCCTTCTCATATATTCCCATAAGTAGTTCACGTTTGAGAAAATAGTCCTCAAATTCATTTCCTTTGGTAGCTGTCACGTCCTGGAAGCAATTTAATAGGCAGATCAGCTCATAAACATGTAATTAAAAGATTTGAAACAACTATAAATACCAACATTTTACCATCATGTCTTTAAAACTTATAACGTTTTACATTTATAACTTTATATAATAGGATAGTAGGAATTTAAAACTATTGATCCACTTGCATCACCAGAATAACATAAGAAACAAGTAGACCAAAGAATTATTTATTGAAAAAAAATGGAGGAGTAAGCTTGAGTTTAAAGGAGACTTACAATATCCATCCAAAACAGGGCAGCAGCAGCAACGAGGAAGAAGAAGAATATGAAGTAAGTCGTCGTCTTCACAAATCCCTTGAGCCGTCCAAGCCCAAGATTCGAAAAGCAACCTTGAATCACTTCATCTCCATAAGGCCAAACGCCATGAAAAATCTTGACAACCTCCGCCATGGAAGCTGTATCCACAAGCTCAAACACAAAACCAGAGTATGTCAAAATCAAGCAGCGGCGTGTTATTGAGCTCGCAGGAAGGTAAGGTTTCGAGTTTAGGTGGAGTTTGGGGTCAACACGCAAGTCTATCACGACGACGTGGTTCCCCGGGGGGGAGAACTGACTAAATATCTTTGAGAACGCTGAGGTCAACGAGTTGTTTATTTTTTGGACGAGTTGGGGAGAATGGATGATGAATTAGTAGGCAGTAAGGTGGTTGAAGGTTTAACTTTACACCGGATATTAGACAGCGATTAACAATTTAATAACAACGTAAATCTTTTATTACTACAACGTATTGTTAATTGACATATGATAATGCTATGTTACCCGGTTTTATTGTAAGAAGAGATAGGTATTTTTATGTGTAGAGGCCAAATTTTGGTAGTCTTTTTAGTATACTGTAATTGGTTTTTAAAAAAATAATATACGTAAAATTGATTACCTAAAAAATATTTTACGTAAAATAAATTATATTTTTTGAGAAATAATTTTTAGAAACTATTTTATGGTGGTTTGATAATATTGTGTAAATCATTTTCACTAATTATTTGATACACTATAATTAATTTTATAGAAAATAATTTACATAAAATGAATAAAGTTTGGTTAGGTTATTTTTTTTTAAAAAATAATTGATTCGATTAACGATTAAAGAAAAAAATATGTTTATTCAGTTATTGGTAATTCAATTCGATAGGTGGTTGAATTAATAATTTGAACACCCTTAATTTTAATTATTAGTATTTTATTAACATAATATTAAATTATTATATTAATATTAAATGTATAAATTAATATTACTCATTATTAGTAATTTAATAATGTTATATTTATAAAAATAATAAATAAATATTAATAATTTATTATATATTACTAAATTAAAAATATAATATCATATATTATTATAATATATCTATGTATATATTAATTTAATATTAAAAATATAATATAATTAAATTTATATTATATGTATATTAAATATTTTAATAATTAATATTTTTATTAAAATGATATTAAAATATTAATTTAATATTAAATGTAAAAAATTAATTTTTTTTGAGTACTTATAGTCTGAAGTGAAAAGTTAGGGAAATGTTTTACAGAAAATCAGATGGTAAAATAATTTACAAAAAATACAAATTGGGAAAATTAATTACAGCTAACAAACACTGAAATTTTTTTTTCCCGTAAAACCAATTAGAATTATCAAACATCGGAAAACATTTTCCAGAAAACATTTTCTACCTATCAAACACATGAAAATGAGGAAAACATTTTCTGGAAAAACATTTTTCAACTATCAAAGGATGATTCTTCTACGCTAGACGAGCAGTGATGAGCACCACTAACGACGAGCACCATTAATTTATTTTATAAAATTTTAAATTCTAAAGGACTCAACGTATAATTATAAATTAGTAAAAATTTAAAGACAAATTATTTAAAATAAAGGCTAAATTATACTAGTGACCACCTAACTATTACCCCTTTTCATTTTGGGCTTAATATTTTAGTCTTATGTATGAAATTTTGGTGCCTACTATTTCGAATTTTCTTTTTTGATGTATTGTAATTTTGATTCCTTCATTTTTATTAATGAAATTCAATTGCAATTGTTCCCAAAAAAAAATCCAAATGCAATATATAGATAATTTAGCCCTAGTTTGACACACAAATTGTATGAAGCGAATTTTACATAATTTATCTATTTTAAATCTTGTACCTTATCTAAAATTTAGGGTTTATACATAAAATTTTAAAGTTTAAGATATGGAATTTTAAATTTTATGAGTTAAACATAGAATAAACAAGTTATGTACAAAATCTTTATATCAAATAATATTATGGTATTAAAGTATAATATGCATTTTCAGACCAAGCCACGGATATGGATTTATCATCCTCAGCTTCTTCAAGGATTTATCATTTGCATAAAAGTAGCGACTACCAAACCATATGTTGAACCTAAAATCAAAAGCAGGACTCTTCAATATTCTCTCCTACTATCCTGTGAACATCTCAGGACTATGGAATTTGATAAAATCGATACAAGAATTCGGGGGATTACATGCATGCATACAGCAGCAATACATCATCTACCAAACACCACTTAATTTTTATAACACGCATCCCTCTGCCATGGCAAACACCCTGATTGACCAGCTTCATTAACCCTAATAAACATACAAACCGTCGTTCGTCATCAGTAATTGTAGCATATAAATCGCATGAGAACAAAGAACAAATAAATCTTTTCACGCACGTAATAATCTAAAACTGGACACAAGGATGGTAGCTCACCATTGTTTACCACCACAGGCTGAACAGGAAACATCCACCACAAATCATCGACAGTAAATTGCCTGATCGATGTGTGGAGGAATTTGCTTAATTTCAGTCCCAAGTTCTTGTTCAATCCTATACCTGTGTAACAAGGACCACATAGAAATTCAATGAATCGGAACCTCGATGTATATAATACTAAAGTTCACAGAAGTTGGATGTGGTAACATACAAGTTAAAGCGGTCCTCATAAGTGATCAAATTCACAGCCAATCCAAGATGACCAAACCTTCCTGATCGACCAACCTGCTCATTAAAAGAATATCCATGAGGATTGCCAAAAAAGAATG